CACGGAACTATTTACTTTACCCACCATGAGAGTAAGGACAAGACAAGAACATATCGATGCCAACACAGAAGACAATGTCCAACATAACAGGCCAATTACACTGGATTAATCTTTGTGTTTGGATAGGAGATGCCTCGTATGGGCCAATAAGCCTTCTGCAGCCCCTATGTTTATCCCTTATGTATCCCCCCATGTTTTCACCTTCATTGTATTATCACCTGACCTAATGCGGGTATAAAATCAACTAGTATTGTAAGATCTGTTCACTTGAGAATGAACCATGGAGGTTCGAAACGTCGTGCAAATTATACAAATAAGTGTAATACACTCTATAGTAAATCACTTCTTTTCTTCACCGTAAAAGTACGAAAATGAGTTTTGGAGAACTCCTATTTCAATTAAGCCCTGATGCTAAGAAAATAGTTAGAGGGATAGAAGCCCTAAACCAGAAAATAATAAATACAGAATATGCGGTCATATTCAATGAAACATGTTTGAAAGAAAACCTGCTGCCAGTATACACCAATATATATATATATATATATATATATATATATATATATATATATATATATATATATATATATATATATGGGTTGGTTAGGTTCGGTCATATATCTACGTTAATTTTAACTCCAATAAAAAAAATTGACCTCATACATAGAGAAAAAGGTTGCTTTATCATTTCATAAGAAAAAATTATAGTAAATATATTAATTCAGGAAAACTTGGCTTATTAGGCAAATCGGCCTTGAATAGTAGGCTGAGAAGTGAGTTCTGGCTACTAGGTACGACATATATATATATATATATATATATATATATATATATATATATATATATATATATATAAATATATATATAAAACTGAAAACTCACACCCCAGAAGTGACTCGAACCCATTCTCCCAGGAGCAACGCAACTGGTATGTACAAGACGCCTTAATCCACTTGACCATCACGACCGGACAAAATGAGGTGATAGCCGAGGCTATTTGAACCACCCCACCGCCGGCACTCGGATAGTAATCTTGGGCATAGCATTTTACCAAATCACCTCATTCTTTGGGGCACACGTGAGGAACACAAATGCGAACAAGCCTGAATGGTCCCCAGGACAATATGCAACTGAAAACTCACACCCCAGAAGTGACTCGAACCCATACTCCCAGGAGCAACGCAACTGGTATGTACAATGGTCAAGTGGATTAAGGCGTCTTGTACATACCAGTTGCGTTGCTCCTGGGAGTATGGGTTCGAGTCACTTCTGGGGTGTGAGTTTTCAGTTGCATATTGTCCTGGGGACCATTCAGGCTTGTTCGCATTTGTGTTCCTCACGTGTGCCCCAAAGAATGAGGTGATTTGGTAAAATGCTATGCCCAAGATTACTATCCGAGTGCCGGCGGTGGGGTGGTTCAAATAGCCTCGGCTATCACCTCATTTTGTCCGGTCGTGAAGGTCAAGTGGATTAAGGCGTCTTGTACATAACAGTTGCGTTGCTCCTGGGAGTATGGGTTCGAGTCACTTCTGGGGTGTGAGTTTTCAGTTGCATATTGTCCTGGGGATCATTCAGGCTTGTTCGCATATATATATATATATATATATATATATATATATATATATATAATATATATATATATATATATATATATATATATATATATATATGTCGTACCTAGTAGCCAGAACGCACTTCTCTGATTACAATGCAAGGCCATATTTGCCTAATAAGCCAAGTTTTCATGAATTAATTGTTTTTCGACTACCTAACCTTCCTAACCTAACCTAACCTAACTTTTTCCGCTACTTAACCTAACCTAACCTATAGAGATAGGTTAGGTTAGGTTAGGTTCGGTCATATATCTACGTTAATTTTAACTCCAATAAAAGAAAATTGACCTCATACATAATGAAATGGGTAGCTTTATCATTTCATAAGAAAAAAATTAGAGAAAATATATTAATTCAGGAAAACTTGGCTTATTAGGCAAATCGGGCCATGCATAGTAGGCCGAGAAGTGCGTTCTGGCTACTAGGTACGACATATATATATATATATATATATATATATATATATATATATATATATATATATATATATATATATATATATATATATATATGTATATATATATATATATATATATTGTTTGCATATATATATATGCAAATGCAAACAAGCCTGAATGGTCCCCAGGACTATATACAACTGAAAACTCACACCCCAGAAGTGACTCGAACCCATACTGCCAGGAGCAACGCAACTGGTATGTACAGGGACGCCTTAATCCGCTTGACCATCAAGACCGGATATAAGGAAGTGATAGCCGAAGCTATTTGAACCACTTCCTCGCCGGCACTCGGATGGTAAACTTGGGCATAGCATTTTATCAAATCACCTCATTCTTTGGGGCACACGTGAGGAACACAAATGCAAACAAGCCTGAATGGTCCCCAGGACTATATACAACTGAAAACATATATAGTCCTGGGGACCATTCAGGCTTGCTTGCATTATATATATATATATATATATATATATATATATATATATATATATATATATATATATATATATATATATATATATATATATATATATATATATATTGGTCAGTGTCAATGCACTGCCCTGGGGCTATTGTATATATATATATATATATATATATATATATATATATATATATATATATATTGGTCAGTGTCAATGCACTGCCCTGGGGCTATTGTATATATATATATATATATATATATATATATATATATATATATATATATATATATATATATATATATGTCGTACCTAGTAGCCAGAACGCACTTCTCAGCCTACTATGCAAGGCCTGATTTGCCTAATAAGCCAAGTTTTCAAGAATTAATGTTTTTTCGACTACCTAACCTACCCAACCTAACCTAACCTAACTTTTTCGGCTACCTAACCTAACCTAACATATAAAGATAGGTTAGGTTAGGTAGGGTTGGTTCGGTTCGGCCATATATCTACGTTAATTTTAACTCCAATAAAAATAATTTACCTCATACATAATAAATTGGGTAGCTTTATCATTTCACAAGAAAAAAAATTAGAGAAAATATATATATATATATATATATATATATATATATATATATATATATATATATATATATATATATATATATATATATATATATATATATATATATATATATATATATATACAATAGCCCCAGGGCAGTGCATTGACACTGACCAATCCGGTGGCTAGGTACGGAGGTCCTAAATGGGTTCACTGTGAGTCACGTGGTCTCACGTGACTAGTGCGTCATAGATGGCCATGTAGCCATGGCCGTTAGCTATATAGAGCCTAGGGAGGATTCAAGCATACAGTAACGGGGTCAATCACATCACTGAAAACAAAATGGAATATATCAAATTCAATTCGGGTATTCGAATTGTTTATTTTATTCGAAAATAAATTTATTATTTATTTAATTATTTATTTATTGTTTATAGTTTATTCGGGTAAAAGTACATACATAGATGAGTCACAGACATAATGTTGGATTTATAGATAGATCCAGTACATACAATACCTAAAGTTACTAATACGCATAGCGTTTAGGGCAAGGTGTGGGGGAAAAAACGCTTAGACTAAAACTTAATTCTAATTGAGATTAAAGTATAAATTGTATTGAAAAAGGAAAAAAAGGGGGGAGAGGGGACATGGAAGAAATCGGCAATTAAACAAATAGGTCAGCAAACAGTATTGTTTGAAAATAGCAAGGCATGGATTGACATTTAGGGGGTAAGATAGATTACATGAAGTTTATTAGATAGTACTTAGGTTTTTTCTTGAACTGGTTGAGAGAGGTACAGCCTTTGACATGATTGGGAAGGTCATTCCACATTATGGGTCCCTTGATTTGTAGAGCATTTTTAATTTGGTAAGTCGCACTCTTGGAATATCAAATAAGTATTTGTTTCTGGTGTGGTGCCCATGGCTTCTGTTACAACCTTCTAGGAAGCGTTTAAGATTAGGATATGTATTACAGTTCAGAGTTTTAAATATATAGAGTACACAAGAGAGGATGTGCAGTGACTTAATATCTAACATATTCAAAGATTTAAGTAAAGGTACCGAGTGCTGTCTGGGGCCAGAGTTTGATATTGTTCTAATATCAGCTTTGTGTTGAGTAATTAGAGGATGTAGATGATTTTGGGTAGTAGAACCCCAAGCACAAATAACATAATTGAGATAAGGACAGATGAGTGAGTAATAGAGCGTTAGCAGGGCAGTGGGAGGTACATTATATCTAATCTTAGAAAGAATGCCAACAGTTTTATAAACATTTTTTGCTATATTTAGAATGTGACCTTGGGAATTCAGCTTGTTATCGATGAGGATGTGGTGTTCTGTGTTGATGTGTGTTATGGATTAGGATATATGATTTATGCATCACGGTCCCCCATATTACTGTTAAGAGACACGAACAACAACCTCCACTTAATTGTTAAGAGGGAGTAACCTTCAGCATCACTGGAACACTTAGCCTGGCCAAATATCAATCAATGTTCTAGGGGGAGTGAAAGACTAGCAACAAATATTCCAGTTTACTGGCATTAATATAATCCACATAACATTAAAATAATAACCAGCTACTAAGTTATACACAATTACTTTATCCAGCTTCTCATCAGCTGGGCATGATCATTCAAAAAAGGTCTGTAAACTGCATCAATCAACACTAGCTGACCCCAGGAACTTAGCCTGGCGCAGTGCAACACTAGCGCCTATATGCTGCTAATTCCAATACAGGGGTGTGGTGTCACAACCAGTAACACATGAGGAATGAGGAAACAATATCACATAGAGCACACTGGCTTACTTAAGTTCCTCAGAATATCACCTCACAAAGACTTAAAATCTTCTACCTCCTGGTATACATGATGAACAACAGTAGAAATGATCCATGTTAATACATACTGTTACATGATAATAATACTAGCAGGCACAATACCTAAATAAGGTCCCAAATCTCGGAGCAGAACGCCACACATGCGCTCGTCTGGGAAAGTCAAGGAGTAGTGGGGCCTTCAGCCAGCCTGGCTGGGGCGTGACACTGTATCCAACTTCAATGAGTCAACTGACCCCTCTCTTTCAAATCTCTCTAGTTCATTTACAAACATAACTCACTCATGAACTTCTAATTTAATATACAACAAAATAAAGATTATAAGACATAACCTTACATAATAAGAATTCAGTATATTAAAGAATTAAAGTCTCCGTGGTGTAGTGGTAAGACACTCGCCTGGCGTTCCGCGAGCGCTATGTCAGGGGTTCGTATCCTGGCCGGGGAGGATTTACTGGGCGCAAATCCTTAACTGTAGCTGTTTAACGCAACAGTAAAATGTGTACTTTGATGAAAAAACGATTCTTCGCGGCAGGGGATCGTATTCCAGGGACCTGCCCGAAACGCTACGCGTACTAGTGGCTGTACAAGAATGTAACAACTCTTGTATATATCTAAAAAAAAAAAAAATTAACAGGAAATAAAAATATGTACACAAAGATATCGTATTGGTAAGATAAGGTAACGCTGGCGCGAGTCGGTACACCAAGGGGGGGGGGGGGGGGGTGAAGGGAGGATTCAAGATGTCGGTCAACCGTTTATACCTATGTATACAAGAATATAAAATGAAGTAGATATATATAACATGTGTATCGAAAGCTTGTCTAGGTGGAAAACATTTCAGTGCCATAATCTCAGTAAATGTCATGACAAGAGGACAATGCAAGAAACAACAATGAAATGGAAACTACACAGTATACATGTGAGTAATACACATGGAAACTAAATGTATATATTGTCCATCATGGTCCCACATAATGTTACTTATACGGCATTTATGTAGCATATGATTGTATAACACGCGTTATACTAAATATGTTACGATTCCATTTCAATGGTTTCTGATTTCATTGATTAATTGAATTTTCATAGATTTCGATTTATTTTCATTTTGATTGAATTATTTTGTGTGACATTGCGTTGGAATTGAGCTGTGTTGTTTACCATACCGCTCATTTGGTGAGAATGGTTTATTTTGTTATTTTTTCATTGTGTTTCATTTCGTTTTTTAACTGTTTTTCTTTTATTTCAGTGATGGGAACATCAAAACATTTGATGTTCTCAACTTTCTGATAGGAACATCAGATCATTTGGGAATGCATCGGACGAGGGAGTGGGGAGGATGAAGGGACGGGAGTAGGGCATGTTGGGGAGGACGAGGGGACAGTAGAGGGGGTAGTGGTGGGGACGACGGGGGAGTTGGGGATGGTGGGGACGAGGGGAAAGGGGAATCGAGAATGGTGGAGAGGACAAGGGGAGAGGAGCGTGGGGGATGGTGGGGAGGACTAGGGGATGGGGAAATGGTTGGGAGGACGAGGGGTCGGGGGAGTGGGAGGACGAGGAGGACGGTGGAGTGGGGAATGGTTAGGAGGACGAGGGGATTGTGGAATGGGGGGTGGTGGGGAGGACAAAGGGACGGGGAGGGGGGGAATGGTGGGGAGGACGATGGGACGGGGTAGTGGGGAATGGTTGGAAGGACGAGGGGATGGGACGGAGGGAATGGTGGGGAGGACTGGGAGACAGGGAAAGGTTGCTGTGGCCGGGTACAGCTAGTTGTAAATAAAATTCATCGCTAGAGCCCGGGAGAAGGCCCATGACCCCTATGAAATATGGACCTGTATGGGAGTAAATATATTCTGGGGAATGGAGTTAACTGAAATAAACAAGAGTTCTTATATAAACCAAATGCAGTCAGTTGGAGTTTTTTCCTTGAATACGAAAAAATAGCAATACGGCATTTTCATAGTTCCAAGCATATCATATTTATATTGAGCAGCACGAATTTGTTTTTAATGTGGAAGAAGTGCCAAACAAATGTCGATTTTTAATATTTGCCCCAAGGGGCGAGTTTATTGGGCAGCGCCACTCATCCTGTGAGTGGACACACCGCCATAGTGACAGTATTGGGCAGCGCCACTCATCCTGTGAGTGGACACACCGCCATACCGCGCCATAGTGACAGTATTGGGCAGCGCCACTCATCCTGTGAGTGGACATACCGCCATAGTGACAGTATTGGGCAGCGCCACTCATCCTGTGAGTGGACATACCGCCATAGTGACAGTATTGGGCAGCGCCACTCATCCTGTGAGTGGACATACCGCCATAGTGACAGTATTGGGCAGCGTCACTCATCCTGTGAGTGGACAGCCATAGTGACAGTATTGGGCAGCGCCACTCATCCTGTGAGTGGACACACCGCCATAGTGACAGTATTGGGCAGCGCCACTCATCCTGTGAGTGGACATACCGCCATAGCAACATGTACAACACTCCCCAATAGGAAGAAAACCCCCTGGGTTGTTCTTCTTGTCACTTGTACCCAACCCAGCTGGGACTTGTTTAACTGTCTCAAGTGAACACCTTATCAAACAAGAAGATTAACATTCGTCATCCCTAAAAATCTTACGGTCTTGCGCATCTTAACTTATCGACAAAGCACAGGGGATTGCGATCCTGGACGAGCTTGCATGCATTGGTGTCAAGGGGAGACTCATGAAATTGATTGAAGACTATCTCACAGGGAGGAAAGTCAAGGTCTGCTTCAACGGAGCAGTCTCCAGAACAATAAATATGGAACTCGGGACCCCCCAAGGAGGGGTCTTAAACCCCGCACTATTTAATATACTTATGAACAATTGAAGCTTTAGAGAAGTTAGCTATGGAGGGTAGACGGGGTGAAGATGGTGGTGAAACGGGACGTGAAATGGGGAATGGAACGGCCATAGAAGAAAGTAGAGAAGAGCATGAAGTATCGATGATAAATGATAGTCAGAAAAATGAACATTCTATTAGTGTTCAACCTTGTGTAGTGAAAAATGTTGAAACAAAGGTTAAAGTAAAACGTGATTTGTTGTTTGCATGTAGGTCCATCCTAACCAGTCCACATACTTCGGTTACCTTGGTGTGTTGTACAGGCTCCAGTGTCAGGTTAGGTCTGCTCTGGTAGGTTTCGACGGGTTTCTTCGGCATGGTCCTCCTCGCTTGTCGGGTCGTGGGTGCAGGGTTGTAGACCTGCTCGGACGAGGTTTTCCTTGATGGACTTACCTCGCCTCGACGCAATCATTAGTAGATTTTGCGGGACATTCTCTCCTGAAGGGTGATCACTGTATGTCTCCCTCATCCAGGTCCATACGTCTGTGAGTTTATGTTTTAGTTTCCCGCGAAACTAGGAAAGAACAGGATAGGGAGGATCCATCTCCTATTCTCCAACCGTGGAGCCGGGGAACTGAGAAGTTCTTCTCTGGTATTTCTGGGCTTATGAATAAGTACATATGTGGTATATTCTAAGGTTTATTTTTTTTAAGGCACTAACTCTTCCTCCTGATGATTGATTGATAAAGATTAAGCCACCCAAAAGGTGGCACGGGCATGAATAGCCCGTAAGGGGTGGCCCTTTTGAGCCATTACCAGTATTAAGAGCAGATACTGGAGATCTGTGGAGGTGCGACTGCACCCTGCGTGACGGGAAATGTCTCCCATCCTGATCTGTTATACACAAGTTTTAAATATTAGGAATTTCTTTTTAGTTCTATTAAACAATAGAAATTTTATACAAAATTTGACATTATCCTGAGTTACTTTACAATTTATTTAAATATTTTAGTTTTGTTTTATTATTTTTATAAAACTGTAATATCAATATAGGTATACGTTAAGTACTAATTGTAATTAAGAAGCAAGAAAATGCCTATCTTAACATGCCAAGAAGGTTAGGTTAGGGTCTTGGTTTTCTCCTCAGCTTTTCAGGTAAACTCAAATATTCACAATAAATTAGTATATCGCATCTGTACTTATTCATAAGCAAAATATTGACTATAAGCAAGTGCGAGAACGGGTTGTAAACCGTTGGTTCAGCGTTTCCTGAGAGTAACCTCTGTGCATAAACATCTCCCACAGGTCGTCTAGCTTAGGGTAGAGGGTTTCATCCTTGCTGTTTATTCTTTTAAGGCATAGTCCTAGTGAGAAGGGTAATGGTTTCTTTAGGGCTAGCAGATGGTCCTAAACTTCAGGTATGTGTGAAGGTTCGTAGGTTTGTAATACGCCTTTGTGTTCAGGTGTCGGGTTGTCTCGTCCACGTACACCGAGGTGTCCAGGAAATTTATTATGGGGTCGTCGTGTTCTAGGGTAAATTTTGTGTATCCGTGGACTGTGTTCACCCAAGCAAAGAAACCCTCTAGACATGGGAGTCCGCCTACCATGATTCCAAAGATATCGGCTATATATCTGCAGTACACTGCTGGGCGTCTTCTCTGTGGGATCTGTCCCTTTCAAATACTACATGCATAAAGATGTCAGCAATAGCTACACTACTGAACGCTCCTTAAGCAGTGCTCTTCGTCTGTCTATATGCCTTGCCATCAAGTATTGTGTCCTCATTACATGGAGTATGTAATTCCAGTGTGTCCCTCATTACATGGAGTAAGGATACTTCTAATAACTGTCTAAGAGGCGTCCTCCATACTCCTGCGTATCGTAGTTGTTGTGTAATTCTGTGACTGTTTTCATCAAAGAAAATTGCTACCACTTTGGCTGTCTCTCTCTGTGGTATGTTCGGGTAGATAGAACTATCAGGAGAAAGCGTTGTTGTTATCGTTTTAGATTCAGCTACTTAGAACAAAAAGTTCCAAGCAGCACGTGCTATGGTAAGCCCGTAAGTGGAGGCTCTTTGGAGCCATTATCTGTATCAATGGCTGATTCTATGGATGGAAGGGGGGGGGGGGGTCTTCATGGTGGATTTCAACCTCGGAGGGCTGAAATCCACCAGTTATGGAGCTGGTGGGGTTAGTGTAGACCTGCCCTGCAGCCGCTCAGCATTGGTCTCCCCTGCCACGCTCCTGTGATCTCGTTTGGTGGTTTGTGAATCTTTGGTAGAAGACAAAGGTGTGGGATGGTTACCTTACCTACCTTGAGGTTACCTTGAGGTGCTTCCGGGGCTTAGTGTCCCCGCGGCCCGGTCGTCGACCAGGCCTCCTGGTTGGTTACATTGGTGGTAGACTAAAAGGCTATGTAGAAGTCCCCTTGCCCTTCCTTGCATGAGCCCACTATTCCCGTCTCGGACTTTATTTTCACAAAGCTTGTGGTCTGGATTCCTGCTCCTTGTCTGGGCGTTCTTCAGAGCAGCGTCTTGGTTTGTGATCCAGTGGTACACCACTGTATCTGCCAGGTGTCGTTCCATTTCCCGGGTATAGTTATTCCGTCTCCAGACGACGACGGCGCCTCCCTTATCCG